TTTTCATACTATATTGCAGCCACTTTGTGAGCTCCTCTATGCAATATAATGGTTTGAACTTCAGAAGATTTATCTGCTATTGAAAGTTGAGGGTATGCCTCTTTCGCTAAGTCTTTATAACTAGCGGACAAACCCGTCAGATGGGTGGGCTGTAGCCGAAGCAAACTTTATAAGCTGTATATACACCTGAAAAGAAAATGCATGAAAGTGTTTTAGTATTTTTTAAATCAGTTCATTCTTTTCATGCAACAATCAGTTCGTAAATAATGTTTTTGTTGCCAAACCAGGAAACAAACTTTTGACACTTTACTTTAATACGTTTACGTATGACGTCATGATTTAAATTTAATGTAATAGAACAACTTTTTCTCAGTATCACTAAAAGAATTAACGTGGCAAAAACATATCATGTCAATTATCCTTAACTGAAACAAAAAAAGTTGCCAACAACTGCTATTTTTTTAAAATGCTGATATTAACGAAAAATTTTCGATGTACAGTGACGTCACATGTAATCTCTTCAGAATACGACCTTCTATAATAATAATACTATGTTTAATGTTTGGCAATTCTATTTTTATTTCATATGTTGTCAATCTTAAAGATTTTTTATTGACAAACTTTTCATTTGAAAGCGAACAGTAGCAACACTTTTCGAAATAAAGCAAATTTTTATCGCCAACGCACGAGACTGTTGCCACTCAGAAAAATGAGTGCGAAAATGAGCGTTTTCAGAGTTTATGATTAATATCTTCGCTAATTAAAGTTGTACGAAGATGAGAAAACTCTCCACCGTTTCGGAGATGTTGTCACAAACAAAAAAACAGACTGACAGATTTTAATAGTATATATGATATTAGCACAATAAAAGGGGTTGTAAAATTTCGGAAACTGCAAAGGGAATGGTGCAAAGGTGTGCAAGGGGAAAAGATTGTTCATTTTAAGTTAAATAAAACTAAACTTGTTAATTTATTCATTTTCACTGCTTTATTTTGATTAAAGTAGAACTGGGTTATAGGAAATAAAATTTCATGGTATGACTTTATCTGAAACAAAATGCGTTTTATACTTTTTATTTATGTTTTTACGGAAATGAGAAAAAAAAATTAATAGTATAGTCTTTGCTGAAAAATATGGTGGTACTTACCTAGTAACGCAAACATCTTGGTGCCAGTATGGCCAGTTTAGCGACTTTCCTAAAAAAGATTGTTAAATCATCGATATTTATCATAAAAGAGATTTTAGCAATTTAAAATATAAATTTTGAGTATTAAATAAAGATTATACGATATATTATAAAATAAAACACTTTTTTTTTTTTTTTGGAAAACTCTCTATAATTTTTTGCTCCTGTTTTCCCCATTTGCACATCGATCTGTTTTCGTTCAAAAAACATCAAAGAATCGTACAAACTCGGCTTTGCGCATCAGCTAACACGCCCCATGCTTATTCCCTTTAGCGATTTTGCGGCTAAATACTACTATATTCCTGCAGTTGCTGACAAATTCCACAAGCACATATTTTAAAACTAATTTTAAGGCAAAAAAAATATCACCGTTTGTCCTAACTTGGAATACAAGAAGAAAAACGAATACAAAAATGGCATCTTTACTTAACTGAAGAACTGTGATGAGCGTAATTTTCAGAGTTTGGCACAGTCTGAAAATTGGGTGACTTATACTAAGGTGGTTGTGTTTATACCGATATGGTAAACGAAAAATTAGGATTTTGTTTTTCGCGTTCAAAGGCTGTATGATTTAATTATTATGTATTAATTGATAGTTCTACTGATTTTCGTTTATTTATGCATCACTTCTTATTTCTATTCATTTACTTAGTTAGTTACTGGTAGTAGTTATGTACTAAAATCTCTCTAGACTTTCTGCAACATTTAGATAAAAAAAGCGAACACCATAATATCAGTTTAAACATACTAAAAAACGCAAAGACATCATAAATATGATGTAAACATATCTATCAGAGAATTTTAAGAGTGTAAGCAAAGCAAGGTTTTGGCTACCTAATGTAACAAATAACAGAAAGATCGCAAAATTTAATGAAAGCTACACATAAAATTTTATAAACCTATTAATTGTGTTGGTGTATTTAATTATGGCAAAGCACACTAGGGCTATCTGCCTAAGGAGAGGGATGGCTTCGTGGAGGACTTTCTAAGGGAAACTGGCTCGTATTCACGTTACACATGGGGAAAACCACGAAAACAGCCATGCAGCCAGCCCGTTTGCGGGATTCGAACCTCGGACCGAACTACCAGTGTTCAGCGACTTTACCGCTCGGCCGCTGGTTGGCGCTCATAAAACCCATTAAAAAACAAATTCTGCAGATAATGCCTTACTTGGGATATTTTATTTTCATTCAACGTATTGATTTGTATAAATTTATTTGATATGCTGAAAGGTACGAGGTAGTAACAGAGATTCATTCACCATTAATATTTTGCCTGCAAAATTTGCTTTACAATCTCAGCTTGTATTCAAACGTAAAATCTTAAAATCTTTTAAAACTTTATTTCTGGTGAGTGAAATTCACGAATGTTTGCGAGTTTTCTTTTATGCGCTTTGGCTTTGAGAAGTAGCAGCCCATCAATCATTTTGGGAAGTGGGAACTTTGTTAGATGTTTTATTTGTAAAATGTGAAGATCCCCGAGTTGTCTGAGAGGAGAGGAAAGCATTTTTGATACAGATGGTTTTAGGAGGTTATGAAATCCATTGCGCAGTTGGCATGTTTTCCCCCTTTCTTGTGAAGTTTGATAACACCGCTCCAGGACTGCGCCTGGACATTTTTGCCGTCCGTTGCGATCTCTTGCAAGTTCAAGATCGCTGCCCGGCACCTCCCTGAATTCTGACTATTTGAGGCCCCTAAATTCTGCTAACCAGTGGCTCTTCTAAATTCTGAAAATTTTGCCATCCGTAATTTTACTGCATGTTACTTAGCTAAATAAAAATAAAAAAATGCCATCCTTAAATGCTGTCGTTAGGTGCGACCGTATTGCTTGAACCGACTCTAGCGCCGGCCCTGCACCGCTCCATCCTACAACTGCTGGTAATTGAAGCTACAAAATGAAATTACTGGAGGAAAAAGAAACCTCACTCCTAAACAATAATAAAAATAATGTTAGCTAAGCATTGAAATACATTACCATAAAAGATGCCTGTAAAAACATTGCCCAAGATAACAGTTCAGAATAACTTTTAAGAAAAAAGCAAGGGCATTATTTGTAACCTCGTCGAAAGAAAAATTGGCATGATTTTAAATGTAGTCTCTCTTAAGCGAGTTTTCGAATATCCAGTATGTTTACAAGCCCCATTTATCTCAGATATTCCACTATACCTAAAAAATACTCATGCTTCAGATTAAGTGAAAGTTTATGTGTATTTCAATAATTTGTTCTAATTTTCTGCTGTGTTTTACCCCATAAACACCGGTGTTAGGCTGTCAGGCTATTATGTTCATTGAGATGATCACAAATTATTAAACATGGTTAAGAGGTTTGAGGCTTATATAGAATCATCAGTTTAAAGAACCATTTCGAGTTCAAAGTGTGCCGTGTTTCTGAGAAATATTATTAAAGGGAGAGAAAAGCACTTAACTAATCTAACATCTTCTGATGGATGCATCATTCAGTAAAGGCGAGTTTACCAATACCAGTAGAAAATTAATTACAATAAATTTTTCACTTAATTTGCGTTTGCTGGTGCATGACATTCGGGTTTTTTCCTTCTCCTATTTTTTTTTCCTATTAATTCCTTTATTATTTTCAATGTTATGTAATTTTAATTCAAAAACCTGGTTGAAATATTACTGTTTTGTAGAGTACAGAGTATTTTTCGTGGTTAAATTGCTATAGTTCTGTAATTAATTGAAATGTTAGCCTCATGTCAAGTGAAGAAATATCACCAGCATTTCGTTTAGCTGCTATATATAGCGTGTATCGCTCTCTTACAGTGCATAGGAAATCCATAATATTGTTGCGTGTGTACGAGTTCGTAATATATTGAATGCACACAGACAGATCCGATGATAAGTTAGTAAAAATTATTTGCTCAATAGAAACACTTCAGAGGTTTGGGATTTTCCTCAGAAATATTTGTACAGGTGTTTACAGTATCAGAAAGTACAATCAGTAGTTACGCCTCAAAGTACTAAGAACGTTAAACACAACGCAGTGCAAAGTGCATCTAAAGAGAAAGCTTATTCGATCTCACGCTGAGCTAACAACTCGCAACAATAACAACAACGACTAACTAAACAACTGATCGCAGGTGCTCTCTCTATATCGTTTTCAACCGGCCGCCGAAATATTTCTAGTACTTTCTGCTTGTCGAAATTACTGGAAAGCGGTATGAGGGTCGAATTACGGTTGCAGCTAATACATGATCAATTGCTTTTATTCAATTACAATACCTATTACGGTGATACGGCGACCGAGCCAAAATATTGCCAAATTTGGTGACTTCTGGCGCCAAAAATTCACTAAAATCGTCAACTTGGCGATATCTCGCCAAACTACCGAGCTATCTATTTACGCAGTGTTAAATGGATTTGCCCCTGTTTTCTTACTTTTCTAGCTTCTTCTCTTAAGATTTTTCGCGTTACATTACGGAGTAAAATACAACACTTTCACATATAAATGCATTAAAATCTTCGATCTATGTACAAAATTCGTAACAGTATGTTTTGACTTACATAAACATAGTTTTGTTGGAGTTTCATTACTGCAGCAAAGCTAAGGATTATATTTGCGCCGTTAAAAAGAAAGTGAAAATATTTTTTTGTATCTGTACGTACGGGAGTGATTTTAAATTGAAAGTGGAATTCATTTCATAATCGAACTTTTATGTCTTTAGTGTAATGAATCGAATTCGAATACTTGTTAAATGAAGTGGTATGTGTTATTTTTTAAATATTTATTGAAGCTGTATATCTGTATTTGTCTTTGCTCTTGCATCGTGTCTGAAACTGCTGTGTTTGTATTCTAGGGTGGTCCTATGCCTGATCCATCCATGAAGCGGCCATATATGTCTCCCAACCAGTTGTCAAGTCCGGCAGCTGCTGCTCCTTCTCAAGGACAATATCCCCATCAGTATCACCCTTACAGTCAAACTCAACCTCAGGGTGCGCCAGTCAGGCCCATAAATCAGAACTACCCTCAACAGGTACATTTATATTTGGAAATCTCAGATATTTTTTTTAATTTTATTTGACCTAGCTGTGTATTTCTGAATGAGCTTGAATTGCTAGAGTGAAACGTTCATCACTTAATTATGCTTATTTTGAGACTGAGAAATTGCAGGTGTATAATTTCATTAGGTAGATGTTTATATTTATGAGTTCATTTGATAAGTTTAGTGGGTGTTTATGAGTCCATTCAATAAGTTTAGTGGTTCATAACAGTATAACTTCCAGGGGGAAAATGTATCATGAGCTTTTGAACACCTAGTTTATATTTGAATATATTACACGATATTGAAGTATCTTGTATTTTCAGTTCCAAAACTTGAGTTTACAGGAAACTGCAAGTGCTGAATTTTTAATTTTTATTAGTTTAAACTACCGCTGTACTTCGAAATCGTCAAATATTTATCATGTTTAGTTTTTGACTGATCGGTGTTTTAGAATCCATTTGTAAGAAATAATGATTCCATGTATATATTATATATATATAAAATGGACTGGGGAGTGTAGTGCTATTTCAGGCTCTGGGCCTGTAGCTCTAAAATTTGGAATGATTCAAAACTATCCTTAAATTGCTCCATAATTCTTCTTTCCCTTCATGAAAACAAAGAATTTAGACATAGGTTGCAGATGGAAAGAGCCTTTTGCTTAGGGTCCCGGACGTTTTTATCAGTTCTGATGATGGGCTTAAGTTTAAACTTTTAGACATTTAGTCGTTTCCAACACTTAAGTGACATTTTACTGGATCAGACTGAGAAATTTCAAAATTTAAATTTGCAGAACTGTGAAATTTCAAGAAATATTCAAACTTTTGATTTAAAAAAGGGTACTTAGATATTATCCCGTCGAGTAGCCAAGTAGCGCGGTTTAGTGCCAATTATAAATGACCGCGTCCTTTAGTCGTCAATTGTCAGTAACAACTGACGATTGATGACCGTTGACGGTTAACCGGATAATATGTAAGTACCAAAAAAAAGTATATAAATTGATGTGGAAAACTTAACGCACTTAAGTTAGTTTTTACCAAGAGTTAAATGTTTTAGAAAAGGTTAATGCATTTAAACTGATCGCTGCGGCATTGAGGTTGAATGCCAAAATAACTGGGTTGCTGTGCTTAATCGAGTAAATGGGCTTTTCGTGGACTTAAATAAAATGTGTTTGAAATGTTAGGATATTGGGTATTAATCTGCTTGTCAGAATATATCTAGTTTATTCATGGACTGCAAAAATGGAGGTAGCTTAGGAACTACGGTATCATAAGAGAATGAGTTTCTGTGTTTGCATAGGCGCAGGTTCGCTCGTTTAAAATGTCAAGTTTTCATCTTACTGTATTTCTGCATGCTTTGAGAAAGAATGAGCGTATTACTTCATTCAGATCTGAATAAAAGTTAATTTTGGGTTGGGAAACTATGATCTGACATTTAACGCTTAGTTCTTCATATTCACCAATATCTCCGTAAGAACTACGACTTAGTTCTGCAGCTATTGCGGCTACAGAAGCCATTTTCAGTAACTGTTGTATTTTTCTGTAATTCCTCCAAATGTTTGGTAATAGCAGTAATATTAATTAAAACTGATGATTTTCATAAAACTGACATATTTTTAAACATAGTTTGGATAAATGTTGTAGGCGAATGCAGAAGTGAGAAGGGTTATGTAAAAAAGTTTATCCAAGGAACTGTATCCTTTAAGTAGTGGATATGCATCAGAAATGGTGGAGGATTGCATCAATTTATTGGTAAAAGTAAAATCACAGTTGTTTCAGGAAATGAATATTAATATTTGAACTTTCTCATGGTGTCAATTTTGAAACCACGTCTACGTCTCTGCTGTTGCTTCCCGCTTTTTGTTCTTATTAAAATCAAATTAAAATTAGGCGTCGCGTTCGTATACCCCGAAGAACAACATAGAACATTTAAAGCAGAATTTAAATGCACGCTGTATCAATTTTTCGCGAATATTTCGAAATCCGTAAAGAAATAGCCCAACATGGATGGTGAATTTCCGAAAACAAAAGGAAATGCTATCAAAGCAAAACTCTTCAAATAATCGATCAGCAGCAAGCTATACATTGCCCGACGTAATTTTTAAAATATTTCATTCAATAAAATTCCTATCATTACGCCTATAAAAATTTGGTTGTTTATCCAGGAAATTCTTCCTGGCAACTTAGCCACCTGCTGCTAGCATTTTCGTCTCATTGGTAGAGAAGTGCGAGTAGCGAGTGCGAGTCGTCGAGTGTCTTGCGTGTAGAACGACTCGTCGGGAGTGCATCGCGGGTTGTGGCGTGGAGAGTCTCGAGAGTACGTGGAGTTTCGAGAACGACCAAGCAGAGTCAGGAGCTGTACTCTGATGCTTTGCAGTGAAGCTAAGCTGTCTCCACCTTTATTGCCTGACAGTGTGAAGGCTGTGTCGCTGATTGTTCCAGCGTGTTTTAGTAGTTCTTCGACGACTGAAACGTGATTTTGGAGCTGTCCTGATTAGTACTGGCTAAATAAAGCGTGTGTTCGATACTTCATCAAGTGTCGTCGTTATATTCACTCCAAATCCACACGAACCCCGTACGAACGTGAAAGAAAGAAAAAACGTAACATCTGGTGTCAGAAAAAGAAAAGCGCAACAATATTATTTGCCTAACAACAACCCGCAAAAGCTGTGCAATGAAACACCGCGAAGAAAGCCACTATCATCACGGGATTCCCGCGATGATGGTGGCTTTCTTCGTGGTGTATGCCATGATGATGGTGGTCTTTTTTACGTCTTTCCCTCCCCCTCCTCATAAAGATGTATCCGTTCCTTGCATTCTGTTGATATAACTAGGGATTCAAACATGCCTTTCGATTCCAAGCGATTGCAGTTGGCCATCTTGCTTGTATTTGCTATTTTTATCAGCAAGGCACTGGAGCACTCATTTTGTGTCCTCTCCTCATAAAGATGTATCCATTCCTTGCATTCCGTTGATATAACTAGAGATTCAAATATGCCTTTCGATTCCAAGCGATTGCAGTTGGCCATCTTGCTTGTACTATTTGCTATGTTTATCAACAAGGCATTGGAGTACTCATTTTGTGTAGCAACACCATTTTTCATACGGCCAGTTATACGTGGCTTGCTCGAGTCGGCGTGTCGGATAGTTTGTTCGTTTCTGCTCCGGCGGAGTAACGAAAAACATTGTGTACCCTCAAGTTTTGTGTACCCAAGCTTTGAGATAAAATGTGCGAGTAAAAATAATCTTTGTTTTCTGTTTAAGATCTACAGTTTTATTCGAGATTGGTAAATTTTTGCACGAGCTCTTGGAAAATTTACATGCGGCTTTCGAAATCTCGTGATTCCTAAAATTGATTGCTGTGGTAGAAGTTAGGTTTCCTTTGCAGTACGATATGAATTTGTAATGGAGGGAAATTAATTCGGTGTAATGATGGTAAACTTTCTCATAGCTTTAGGCTCAATCTATCCCCCTTCCGGGGGGAGGGACTTTAGATTAATGATTAAATTTGAATGCTGCCAGATATCATTCTCCTGATGAAGGAGAATCAATAAAATAAGATATTGTTGGTGATTAATATTTTTAGCTTGCGTTTGCGATAATATCTCTTTAAATATACGTCAAAATTCGATAAAATATGAAGTCGCATGCGGCATGTTTGATCATTGAGTTCTTTTCTGTTATTCCATGTATATCCGTTGTCTTTTTATCTAATGAAAAATCGTATTTTATTGAACATTCTGAAGAATTCAGTGCTATTCAGGATAACTGACTATTGCTATAAAAAAAATTGGTGACGTGAAAATGGAAATAGTTCAGTTTTATTTTCCTTGGGATGAAACTATTTGCACTTCATAACAGAATTAGATTACTGATATGTTTTTATGGCTTTGAAAGGTAATTTTGATTTCGTAATTTCTCCTTAGTATAATGAAATGTGATAGAAGTTACAGCCATTCCCCTTTAATGTAAGGAAAAGTATTCCATATATGTCTTTAAATATGATTTCAGTGTGTATTTAACATGAGTATTTAGAAGTTTCGAGATTGATAGAAAAGAAAAATATGTTGTATGAATTTGTTGTTGTGTTGTTCGTGTATATTTCTTTTTCCGCCTCTGTTTAAAAAAAAAGGAGGAGAGGGAAAAAAAGATTTTTTGTAAATTTAAAAATCTCTTGATTGAAAGATTTAAGAAATAACTTGATCCTTACATGGAATTTTATAGAAATCTATGCTTCCCCGGACTTCCCCTTTTAATAATTAATTTTATTTGTATAATTTTTCATTTCGCCCTTTTATTAATTAATTTTATCGGCTAAAAATCGAGAGAGAAAAATTTTACCGGTAGGTATGCGGTTAATTTTCGAAAAACGCAATTAAATTAAAAACATAGCAAATGAAAAGTAATCAAGGATAAATTACTGGTATAAGCATATAATAGTAAGCAGAAAGTATTATAATTTAAATTAAATATTTGTGTTCTTTTCTAGATAATTAAAAAGCAAGTTAAAGATCAATTCAATGAAGCACTAAGGCTTCCGTTTTTTAATGCATACTTTTATAATTTTCTACATTTTTAGATACTTACATATTAACACAACAATCTTGACGCAGAAATTTTACAGTTGAAAAGGTAAAAGTTACTTATTAGATGCAAGTTGGTAATTTTCGTGAATTTTTTTTTTTTTTTTTTTAAAGTTTCTCAAACTATCTGTATTTATCGAAAAGCTGGCAAGCATCGTCACTATGTCAAAAGAAAACACACCTTAGCAATTTAAAATGCAGATTTTATTTTCTAAATAAGGATTATACGATACTCTAAAGTAAAATAAATACGCATTTTTCGCAAAATTAGTTCTGTACTTTTTTGCTCTGTTCTTATCCCCGTGTATACAACGATCCGTTTTTGCTTAAAACGCCAGAGAACAGCCCAAACCCGACATAGCATACGACTTCTTCTTATCTAACTAGTTGTCTACCAAAGGCATCTATCTCA